TGCTAATTTTCTTTCTGCCTTGCTTCTTTCATGGGGAGGGACACTTTGTCTCAGCTGACACTTTCTGTTTGTACTACACTTTATTTCCTTTACATAAAGTGTTTTCCATGTGGAAAATAATTGCTTTTGAATTTTGATGTTAGTTGTTTTGCTTGTTTCTTGAGAAACAGAATGAGAGAATAATTTTTGCAAACAAATAAATAGCATATATTCTTGTTCCACTTTCTTTTTTTTTCCTGAGGCAATTACTGTGGGAAGCAAGTCTTTGGAAACACCCTAAGATATGATGTGTCCCTACAGGAATGTTGTTTGCAGTGCAAATAATAGTCCCTTGGCAGATCTGTTTAAGTATGTAAAGACATTTCCAGATGAAATAAAATTAGTTCATTCCAGGAAGATCTCCAGATGAATCAGAAATCTGTCTTAAACTGTATGTAAATTCTGCTCCAGTGTTTTGACACTTATTAACACATTTCCCCATGTGTTTTAGAATACATTGTTCTTGATGAAACCAAGTAACACATAGATTATTACATGTTTACCACTTGTTGATGGTGTTAAAGGAGTGGGTGGGCAACCCTCACAAGTCTGACTTTTTGTCCATTTGAGATGTGGCTTTCTTCTACACTGTAGAAGTAGTGCAGTTTGACACCAATTTATTTGGCAATACTCAATGCTATGGAATCCTGGAATTTGTAGTTTGGCAATCCGCCATTACATTTTGGCAGATAAGACTAAATACTTTGTAAAACTACACCTCCCATTATTCCATAGCATTGAGCCAAGGCAGTTGAAGTAGGGTCAAAATGCATTAATTCTGCAGTGTAGCTGCACCTCAAGACTCTGAATAGATCTGCTGGCATTTTTCTCTTTCCTCCTCTCTTTAACCCCTCTAACCAGTTCTATGAATGGGATTCACTTCATCCTCCATTGAATTGTGTGTGTCTCTAGGGTAGAATGTAGGAGCTGTTTAACATCTGTGCATATACGAGGCCCAGCAGCTTAGGACAGGATGTGTGAAACGTGGCATCCATTTGAAACTGCTGAGAGGAATGTATATGGGCAGATTCTGCTGTTTGCATGTGTGGCTCTGCAGTTTGTGAGCACATTCCTCTTACAGCCCAGGAGATCCAACATTCCCTATTTAGGCATGACCTGGGGGAGGATTGGAAAGTGCGCAGGTGTGGAATTACATAGCGCCATTCCTCTTGGGCCCTGTAGCACAGATGCGAGGAGCTGTACAATGAATCCTTGAGGCGCTGATAAAAGTCCACAAGAAGAATTTCTCAAGTGGCGCTGCTTTAAATAAAAGTGTGCATTGAGTCGCGACCTCCATTGGGCCAGCTGCTGGTTACAGTATCTTGGCCACTTTAAAGGGGCAAGCATATTTTTAATAGTTTTGTGCCTCTTTCCAGCACTGTATTCCCTGCGTGCTTTTAATGCATGTGCGTTTAAGCACCAGGCAGCTGTCACATAGCAAGGTCCCCCTCTCTCACAGAAACATACATTAAATCCATCGACTGCTGAGCCCCCTTCCCCAACAGCAGACTGTTATGCTGACCATTCTTCCTGCAACTTGATCATGAACATGCTTTTATTTGTATTTGAAAATTTGAAAAAAATCACTTTCCCTTCCTTGTTGGATTATATCTTACTGTAATCCTTTCTTTAATTGCCATGGCTCAATGCTATAGAAGCATAGGAGTTGTGATTTTTCAAGATTTTTAGCCTTCTCTACCAAAGAGCCCTCGGTGGCGCAGTGGGTTAAAGCACTGAGCTGCTGAGCTTGTTGACTGAAAGGTTGCAGGTTCAAAGCCGGGGAGCGGCATGAGCTTCCTCTGTCAGCCCCAGCTTCTGCCAACTTAGCAGTTCGAAAACATGCAAATATGAATAGGTCAATAGGTACCGCTCCGGCGGGAAGATAATGGCACTCCATGCAGTCATGCTGGCCACATGACCTTGGAGGTGTCAACGGACAACGCCGGCTCTTCGGCTTAGAAATGGAGATGAGCACCACAGCCCAGAGTCGGACACGACTGGATTTCATGTCAGGGGAAAACCTTTACCTTTACCTACCAAAGAGTGCTGGTGATTCAGCTGACTACAAATCCTAGAATTCCATAACATTGAGGCATGGCAGTTTAACATGGTATCAAACTACATTAATTCTACATACCACAACCACCATCTAGTCTGAACAGAACATTTAAAGATGTCCTGTTTGCTGAAGCAGGTCAGTATCATTTATATCTCAAGCCACTTGGTCAGTAATGATTAGATAACAAATTGGCTACAAACCAAACTAGAGGTTTCTTGAAATGCGAAAAGGCTGCCGACTCACTCTCTCGCTAGCCTTTCTCTTCCTTCCTTCTTCTTCCATGCCCAGCTTCTGCAAAACCTTCCTATTTTCTTAAACCACAGTTTCCTTTGACCTCTCAATCAGGAAACTATGGTTTAAGGGCTAATATTAAACCAGGCCCTGATCAATTCTATTCTTTTTATTCTGTTGTTGAGTCCTTTTTTGGCAAAGTGGCAAGATTGGTAGGTATGTGGCTCAGCATCTCTTAGGAAGTATGAAATGAACAAAGAGTGTTCAGAACAAAGAATTAGGGCAAGTACCAGTTACAGTATTCCATTATCTGAAGAATGGCCTGTTGAAAGACTAGAGCTGCCTGATTGGTTTGACACTTTCTTCAGCAAAGTATGGGCTCCCTAAGAATCTTAATGCAGCCTAAGCCACAAAAGCGGATAAAGGAACAGAACAGTTGCTTTCACCAGGAACCTGTCCGTGCGTCATTTGATTTAGCCAAAAGCTGCCTATGATGTGATGGGGGTGAAATAAATAAAAGTAAACCCTAGTTGACAAAATTAGCCTGTGTTACAGTGAATTTCACATCTAATTACTCAGCCTTGTCCAGATGCCTTGAAAGTCAAGAAATGTTTGTGGAAGCAGGATACATAAAAAAGAGCGAGGAGAGTTTATGCTGTTGCATCTCTAGTTTGCACTCCAATAAAACATGTTTTATTAGATTTGAGAACATTATGTCTGCACAGGTACTCAGTTCTTACGTTTCTGCCCTATGGGCCTAAATTGAGTAGCTTGCTAACTGTGCAAGAGAATATGATCCCATGAAAAAAAGGAAGCCCTGTTGTGAAGCTCTTGCTGAAAGGAAGTCGAACACATTAAAATGCAACCTCTACCTAAATCTACCTTTCAAAATAGTAAGGGCACAGCTGGCCTCCAAGGTCAGTTTTAATTCTCTATAACATATTTCTACAGCATAGGTACAGTTAAAATCAAGCAATTTACCACTGTGTTTTAGAGTAGAAACTAGTGTGCAGTAAATTTAATATACATGCACTTGTATTATCATTTACGAAGTTTCCCTTTGTAGCTGCATCCCAGATGCAGTTTAGCACTCTGTGCTTTAGGTTTTTATGGAAGGAAGGGAAGGCAGGCAAAAACTTTGAGCGATACTAACTTCCTAATTTTGGTATTATATCTTTTGATTATTTCTAACTACCGTCATTTCCCACTCTCCTGAAAGGACTTCCAATTTGATAGATAATGATAGATATATTGTGTGGATTTTAATTTTCTTGAGTATTGGTGTTGGAATCCCAACAGCTAGTTTTGCGGGGGTACTTCAACATCCATGTGGAGACCTCTCTGTCAGGATCTGCTCAGGACTTCATGGCCTCCATGGCAACCATGGAGATATCCCAAATGTTTTTTGGCCCCATCCACAGTGCTGGACACACATTGGATCTGGTCTTCTGTTCGGGGCGGGATGATAGTGACGTGGAGGAACTCTCTACAGTTCCTTCGTCATGGACCAATCACTACTTGGTCAGTTTTAGAGTTACCAGGGCTCTAAACCTCTACAGGGGTGGTGGACACATTAGAAAGGTCCACCCCAGGAGGCTTGTGGATCTGGATGAATTCCTGATGGCTCTTGGGTATTTTCTTGACACTTTGGTAGGCAATTCTGTCAAAGCTCTGGCAGACCTCTGGAACTCGAAGGTGGCTAGGGCCATAGACACGATAGCTCCCGAATGTCTCCTTTCACAAAGCAGAGCCAAGTCGGCCCCCTGTTATTCAGGATAGCTGGTGGTGATGAAGAGAGCGAAACGGGGACTAGAGATGTGTTGGCGTAAATCTCGTAGTGAATCCAATCAAGCACAGTCTAGAGCTCATTTAAAAGCCTATGACGTGGCAGTGAAGGTGGCACAGTGACAGTTTGTGACCGCCAACATTGCATCTGCAAATAACCGCCTAAGAGAGAGCTGTTCTGAGCGGTCAGAGGACTTTTAAACCCTGTCCAACCAGGGATCCCTGACCAATCGGCAGCTCATTGCAATGAGTTCACCAGGTTATTTGCTGGTAAAGTCGCTTGGATCCTAGCCAACATTGACGCCAGTATTGATGTAACTGAAGCAGCTGTCTGTCTTAGTTTAATGGATTCCTTCCAACTTGTTTGGTCCGAGGATGTGGTCAAGATCTTGGGAGGAATTTTATTGTGCTGTGTTTTTATGATTGCATATGACATTGAATATCTGCCTTTGTTTTTATGATTGTATATGGCATTGAATATTTGCCTTTGTACTTGGAAGCTTCTCTGAGTACCTCAGGGAGAGAGGGTGGGTTAGAAATTTATTATTATTATTATTATTATTATTATTATTATTATTATTATTATATCTAGTGTAATTGAACTTATTTTTTAATAAATCAGAAGCAAAATGAAAGTCTGCATGATCACTTGAAACATGTTTGGAATTCATGTGAAAATGTGAGATGGAAGTTCTCTGTGCCCAATATGCACTCATGGAGTCCTAAGAAAGCTTCCGGAATTTGGACTAGGGAGCCTGGTTTTCCTGATTATAATTGTCTTGCTAATTGTTTTCATTAAAAATTATTAATATACTATGGTGTTATGAAATATTATCATCGAAGCTAGCTGCTATTTACTTTTTCTTTGTTACGTCTTCTCCTACAGCCATTGCAAATCGATGACAATTTCTGTGGGCAGGATTTTAACCAGCCATTGGGTGGGACAGTCCCCATTGAAGGGATGCCGCTTTTTGTGGACAAAGAGGATGGTATGACATCTGTGGCTGCTTATGACTATCGTGGACACACTGTGGTTTTTGCTGGCACACGAAGTGGCAAGATAAAAAAGGTAAGCACCTCTGTGGATTTGTTGGGTTCTTCTACTTCTGTCTTAAGGAGATAAAACATCCTCTCATGTAGTTCAAGCCAAATGTTAGAGTAATTCGAATGAGAGGGACAGATATTTCTGTGCACACAATTGCTTTATGACTTTTGAGGCTATTTCTGTATCAGAGAATTGACCTTGAACAACTGTTACTTGTTTTTCTAGCATCCTTTCAATCTGAGTTTTCTTTCACCAGAAGTATCGCTCATCACACAGTTTCTCTGAAGTCAGCAATACTTTAAAAATAACAGTAAAATATTACATAGCAGAGGCCTTTCTCAGTACTAGTATAGTTTTGCTAAAGCCAGATTGTTTTTCTTCGTGTTGCAAACTCTTCAGCAGATTTTCTAGGATAAATAGCAAATTGCAGACTCAGCTAGTCTGTTTTGTAAATTCTGCACAGAGGAGGCCTCCCTCACTTTAGATAATTTTTATCTGTCTTCTAGCTTGCATTGACCATCATTCCTACTCTGACTGCTTTTTCCATGGACTCGCTTTTCTCCCCCCTTTTTTTGTTCCTATCTGCAGTGTTGGTACATGCGCCTGCCTCTGTTACACAAAACAGACACATTTCTCTAAGGGTGATGGCTCTGCTCTTTCAGCAGGAACCAAAGAACTCTGATAACTGTGCATGAAGAAGGATCTGTCTTGGAGGCTGCAGAATCCTCTAATCTAAATGATTTAAACCATCTGTGGGCCAAAGTACAAAAAGTGCAGGGAGCTCATCCTTACCCAGCTACACAAAGGCTCCTTGTTGTTGGTAATTAGGAAATAACTGTATGCCTTTCCCTCAATATCTCCACAGGGCATGGATTTCCTGTTATCATAACATCATTCCTATAATTACGCTGGATATTCCCTATGTAAACACAGCCGGCAGTAACTGCATCTTCAACCAGGCAAAATTGTCTTTAGGGCGGCTCTAGCACAGTATTGCAGGAAGCACCCAACCTAGTAGGGGGCTCCTCTGAAGCCAATGCATGCTGATACTGGGAGCCAAACTAAAGGATGGCCTGAAGTTTTGAAGCCCCTATGCCTTTAATCTTTTTCTTTTTCCTGCCTGAGCTAAGCTTTTAATTTACCAAGATTACAAGTATTTTCTAGTTCAGACATCAGTGTAACTCCCTGTGAATATGAATGCAAAGAGGGAAGGCATTCAAAGGCTTACCGTATCCATTGGGGCAGTAGCTTTGGATACTTTCGTGACTTGGAAAGATGGGGGTCCTTGTACAATATTGATTGTAGATTAAGTTATTCATTTCTGGGAGTCAGCAAAGCCCTTCAAGCATTAGCAGAAGACCCTCCATGTTGTATATGTGCTCTTGATAGCTGTTTCCATCTCCCAGGGTGTTTTACACTAGTTTTTGCATACCATTACTTGCTGCATTTATACTTTACATTTTTAGATGTGTGTGTAAAATAAGGAATTTATAAAGCAAGTCACATAGCTCTTTCTTTGCTCCTTGGTTATGGGAAAGAAGCTGTGACCCACTAGAGGAGATGTGATACACTGCAGTATGAAAAAAGTGTCCACAACTAAGACCTGCAGTGAAATATTCTATTGCTGAATGTACCTATCACTCATAACACATTTTCCATTCTCCCTCCTACCCCATTTGCCACCTGTTCATACAATATTCCATGCACAATGGGTTGTTTTTGAAGTCTCCCTGCCCTTCCCCCAGATATTTTACTAGATTTTTACATTTCTTCAGCCTCTTTTGCTAGAAGCTCTTCCTTGTGCATGGATGGTGCCATTTTGGCTACGTAGCCATCAAAAACTATGCATGAGCATCAGAATCAGAAAATTATATTTTTTTCAGCATTCTGTTGCTTCAGAGGGCATTAATGACATTATTCAACGAAATAAAACAGTTAGTTGAACAAAGTCACTGTCCTGTCACAAGATTACCCAAAATAATTTGGCATTCATGGCTCTGTATTCCTTTACTGCTGGAATAGGTTGCCCCTTTATCTCCTAGTGCATAGTGATGGAACATTCTGTACATCAAATTTGCTCTGTCTCTCACTTGGAAGCATCAGTCTCTGCATGTTGTTTTTCTAGCAGAGGGAAACTTCTAACCCCTGCAGACTCAGAGTAAGCAAGATGTTGATTTCTAGATGAATGGGTCTAAACTTAAATGACTGGCCAGAAGCCAAACTGAAGGTCATTTTAGGAGATGTGGTTCACACAAAGTAGACTGTTGTCAGCTAGGGAGAGCTGCTTTGTTTATTAGGTGGACCAAGCAGATTCGATGTCACAGGGGTTTTTTTTCTTCCTCTAGCATTGCCAGCTTGCAGCTAGAAAAACCATGAAACCTGAGGATAGTGTTGTAGCTGTTACATGTACAAACATCAGGAGCTGGCTTTAAGTAGCCTCATAGCTGGCAGACCCCCTTCCAAGATGGTTTGCATAACCCAGTGGGTTCCATTGCTCATAGGAAGGCCTAGCTCAGACCGGCTATGAGGAGTGAGAGCTTGCAGAGAGTTCAGGTTTTGGATCTCACATCTGATTAGTGAGTTACATATCATCCACTAGTGGTAATCTTCAGTTAAGATACCATTTATGTGCTTTAACATTTCAAAAGTAGCACAAATGCATAATTAGTCCGGAATATCAGTATGCAGAATGATCTTGTAGCATCTTAGAGAGCGGCTGAAAGTTGGTAGCACAAGCTTTTGTAGACCAAGTCTGGATCCGAAGAAGGAGATTTCCTCTTTGAAAGCTTTATACTACCAAGTGCTGGCAAAGATATGCAGGGACAAGACAAACTACATTCTCATCATGCCATGGTGGCCCAAGCACCCCTGGTATGCCCTGCTTCTTACACATCTTGGGTGTCTGCACCAGACATCTGTACTGTCCAGATTGTCTGACAATGCATGATGGGAAGGTGAGGCACCCAGATTTGGTCTCTCTCAAAGTAACAGCCTGGAGTACTTGTTCTTATCCTCCCTTTCTGATGCTGTCATTATTGCTGTTGCACATAGGCTTTCCACTCAATGCTTTGAGTAGTCATCTCAAAGCATCCTTCCCTCAGCATGTTCTGCCTTTACTTAGATTATTGGCTGTTGCTTTGGAAGCCAGGTAACTGAGGTTTACGTGGAAAACAGGCTGGATAGCTGTGCATAGGTTCTGTGGTGCATAGCACCAGAAGGCTCTGAATGCTTCATGGCACCAATGTAGTAGAACCCGTCACAGATGAGCAGTCAAAGTACTTTGGTTATGGGTAAGCTACCTGCCCTTATCAGAAGTTTGGTCCCATTGCTGCTGTGAGGACTGGTGGAAAACATGGGCAGATTGCCATCTCTTTCTGATTGCTCTGAAGTGACTGCTCTGAAGTGACTGCCATTTTCTCTTAAGTTCCAAAATTGCAGGTTTTAAATAGTTCAGCATGTGTGAGTATATAGAGGAAGTGTAGGAGGAAGCATTGATGAAACCATTGAAATGGTGTGTGCTACACATCAGTTATTTATCCCCACTGATTGCTGATGATTACTTTTTGTCTGGCAAATTTCTCCCTGAGGTAGTAGATTCCCCCTTCCCTTCGATACTTCCTACATTTTGCCTTGTCACTTCTCTTTTGCTGGTTTGATTGCCTTTGTGGAAGGTCTGATGAAGCAGAGACAAATATGCCTGGAAGCCTCTTCCTTGGCTAGGAAACTATTCCGAGGTAGCATGTGTCAGGGAATTTTAAGAACAAGGTTAGTTAAACCTGAAATGGACGCCAGTTCATTTTGCAAATGCATCAGTTGCAGGCATTCAGTCCAGAATAATGCAAAAGTACTAATGCTTTGGCAGATGTCTGAAGCATTAAGTAAAGAGAGGAATACAGTGTTTTCTCACTTATTGCGGGAGTTCCGTTCCAGTGAAAATCTGCGAAGTAAGGACTCCATATTAATTTTAATATTTACACATTATTTTATATATTATATATATTATATTCTTACCCATGCTTCCTTACCCACTTCCCGGCCCATCCCAAGGGCATCTGCCTGCCTCCATGGTCTCCAGAGCCATGCAGGCTTTCCCTGCCGTGCCTCAGGCCACTGCACTTCCGGAGTCCCTGGCCTCCCTGACCTCCACTGGACGTAAATATCTAATATTTTTTATTTTTATTAATATTTTCAAAAACCTGCGAAAGCAAGTCTGCTAAAAGCAAACTGCGAAGTTTAGGGGGAACACTGTAAGCTCTTTAGCCATAGTAGAACAGTAGTGATGTTCCTGCAGTACGTGTCTATGCTGCGATGTGTAGAGCAGTATGTCTCTCTTGCTTTAACCTTGAAGCATTGGTGTAGGTAGAAACACTGGTGTAGGTGACATCGAGAGCATGACTTCTTCAAATAAGTGCTGTCTGCCTTAGCTTGGAGGATGGAGAAGATGCTGCCTCAGCAGTTACCTGATCTTCCTGTGGAGCCTTGTGCAATCAGACCCTGCCGCTGGCTGTCTCTGCTGCTACAACAGGAAGACAATACGGCTGAACAACCTCCTGTCTTGCCCTCTTCAGCTGGTCACCCAAGAGGGTCAGAGAGGGGTGGGGGTGGGGGCCTATTGAGCTACAGAGACATATGTTTCACTAGGCGCAGGATACAGAGCAGCTGTTATTGCAGAATGTTTGCAACAGACAAGGCCAAGAAGTGTTGGAGACATAAAGGCTCGAAAACATTGCAGCAGTGATCCTGTATTTTTAAGTTTTCCTGAAGGCTTGCTTGATGCGTAGACTCCTGGTTGTTTTTAAAAGGCAATTTTGGTTTTTGTTAGTGGGCTTTTAAATTTCTCTGTGTTTAAATATATTGAATTTAAACAAGCCACTACCATTTGGGCAGAGATAGCCCCACAGGATTCATAAGGGTAGTTGTGATGGGATAGTGGTCGAACTTTCTACAAGACAGATATATTGATGGATGATTGGCCTAAGAGCACTGTAGAAATAGCTATGGATGTAGTTTGGTAATACAGCTTT